ATGGCAGCAATAGAGGTGATGGGTAACTTAGCAGGGTGGACATGAGGATGCACAAGGTGTTTCGAATTCTTACCAGATAGGTCTTACCAAGCTTTGAACCAAATCACTGTAACAAAGTGTTGTTTTGCTTGGTTCCCTGTGCAACTCTCTGATAAACCAAGAAGCGTGGTATGGGTGTTGGAGTTATTGTACACTGCTCCTTAGTTGTCCTTTTTTATTTCCTGCAAAAGGTTAGTGGACAACAAATACCCGAGGGAGTATAAAGATTTGAAAAGATTTTATCATAGCCCCAAGATTAGTTCTTCACATCCACACAAAAAGGAATTGGATTCAAAACTTAAAGAGCGTGGATCCCACAAATTTGCCATGATTTTTATTTTCTCATTTTTTTGAGAGACATTAAAAACATTTTTTTTGTTCACCAAACTTTTATTCAAGCAAAACTCATACAGGGCTGAGATAAACTTACATAACACAGCAAAGGAGCATTTGGAAATATACGTACCGTGCACCTTGAGAGGTGATATGTTTCTCCTTTGTCTATTTTGGCAATTGATTTGTTCCTGGCCCTTGACTTACCTCCAGTGTGATTCGTGCTTGAGAACTTACCCGTCAAATCAAAAAGTTTCCTGCAGGGGTTAGTCCACGAAGGATATACATCCGAAGTCTATGAAAGTACTGGCTCTATGGTTCATTTAAGCAAACTTGACACCACGTCAACTTTGATTAAAGCAGGCTATTTATCCTAAGCATCATGCTCAATTTAAAAAACCTATGAATGTCGACGACCACCCAAACCATAGCATACGAAAATGGACCGAGGACGCATAACTATGCATGATCAAGCCAGACTCAACTAGAGATAAGTATGAGTAAAAGAAATGGTGAATCTTTTGCTGCATTTCGTATACCTAAGTGTACTTACCGCCAGCATGATGTGTATGTTGAAACTTCTGGAGCAGTGGCTTGGTCACATGTGATTGTCAATCTCTCCTCCATCTTGATGTGGGTTGTGGCGGAGGAAGGCATTTTGACCATGCCAACTCAGGTGAGTGGTTTGGTTCTGCATACACCTCTAGTGCAAGAACCTTGTGCCTTGAAGGAGTGTTCCGTCGGCGCAATGCTGAAGAGACGTAGGATACATCTCTTTTTGGCAAGCATGCAAGTGCTAACTGGAGTGGAGCAGCAAACACCTTGAAAAGAAGAGGGCATCCCCTCTTGCTTGTATGCATGCAGGTGTTGCGGGAGCGAGAAGTTGTGCGCGGCTAGGAGTGGATGAAGGCTAACCCAGGTGGCACATGAGCTCAAGAGAGGGGCTGGGTGCAACCAAGCAGCAAGATCACTATTGGCAAGGTGTATAGCAAGAAAAGACTCGCACATAATGCGGTCTATTATCTAGAGGTAGCATGTCAGCTCTCTTGTCCTCTTCTCTTCTCCCATCTTTTTTTTTCCCGTCTCTCTTTTCTTTTCTTTTTTTTTCTTTTTTTTTACTCAAGCAAGGTAAGGCTAACTGCAAACCAGGATGACCTTGGTTGATGGAACTCGTCACGCAAGCTCGTTGACCTCCCCCCACACTTGGACTTTTGTGTCGTAAGACATCAAAAACCAAGTGTGTGATGTTGGAGTCTTCATAAAGTGTGTTTCAACACCAAGGATCACCAAAATGTACAGTTGATATGGCTCCCGAGTTCTTAGGCATCATACGTCTCTCGTTCTTAATCTCAACCTGAAATGGTTATTGACCAAGAATACCCGAAGGTGCATACTATCCTAAAAACTGGTTCTTGCTTTTATTGGAAAAAAAACTTACCAAGATAATCCGGGGTATCTCCCGGCAGTGCTTTGTTTATGGTCACAAGCTCGACCATGGAGACATCTCGCTGCAGGATTAGTGCCACAACATATACGAGATTTGCAATATTTATGATAAATAAAAGCATCCACAACCAACCTTCTAAACATGTTAGAGTTAAGGCCCGAAAGGCGGTTGTGGTCCTCGCACGAGGGGTCAATACTAATCGAACATGATTCTGGGGATTCCTTATGTGAGCATGAATCCTGGGGGATTTTGAAAAAGAATATTTCATGCTCATTTGTGGAGTTCTCATCTTCTAGGGTTGATGTCTCAAGCTTGTCCATGGCTTGCAGGTTCTTCTTCTCAAGATATGCATCGTGCAAGAACAAGGTTGTTTCTTGACAAATGTCGAGAACAACATTTTGAACGCTCGATAGGAGGTTGTGATGGTGGTTCTTTGGAGTGCAATTCAAAGGTCTTGCCAGAATCTTTTTGAACGAAATGAAGATCATCATGTTCTAGAATAGACTCAGGGGACTCATGAAGGAGAACCGCCATTACTTCCTCTATCGGCGTATTATCAGGGAGGATGCCTGTTAAGGTTTTCTCATAATCGGTATGAGGATCATCCCTGAATTTAGGAGCGTAACCCGGAGCTTGAATTTCTTTGGAATCCGGCAATGGCTCCAGGGAGGACTCTTTAGTCAGAACCGAAGATGTTGAAGGCTCAGGTTCAAGCTTGGCAAAAGAGGGTTCCTCCCTTCCTGACACAAATGCCTCTGGATAGGGTTCAACATACTGCCCGACAAAGGAGGTATTTTTCGATATGCGATCGAGAATTTCCTTGCCTTCGGTGGGAGTTTTGTGCATGAATGACGCTCCAGCAGTTATGTCAAGGTAGAATGCAGACTCCCTATCTAAACCTGTATGAAAATGTTGCAATAGCACGTAATCGGGTATAGACAGGGTTGAGCTAGACTGAACTAAATTAGTGAATCTAGACCAGGCTGTACCAATCGATTCTTTATTTATCTGCCGGAAACTCAGAATTTCTACACGAAGAGTAGTAATACGGGTTACAGGGAAGAATGCGAGGCATAACCTATCTTGCAATTTCTCCCAGTCACTGTTTACACACCCAACGGTAGATGTGTACCATTGTTTCGCTCTCTCATGAAGAGAGAACGGAAACAATTTCCACCGAACAGTCTCTTTCTTCATGCCTCGAATCTTAAGGCACGAGCAAAGCAGTTCGAATTCCCGCAGATGATGGTAGGGGTTTTCCTGGCCTAAACCAGAGAAAGATTTCTCCCTAGCCATACTGATGAATTCAGGACGTATTTCATAGCTAGGTGTTAAAATAGGTTCCGATGAAGGAGGTGGCTCGTAAAATTCACCCCGAGGAGCAGATAATTGGAAGATAGATAGTGGCTCCATGGATGAGAAAACTTTTACAGGAATACTTCTCTGGGGTAGCGGGGGTGAAGGTAGAAGAAAGAAAAATAAAAAGGATATGAGGATGAATAAGGTTCGGAGATAAACAGCAACCGTTCCCCGGCAACGGCGCCAGAAATGCTTGTTGGTATTTCTTACGATCACAGATAAAATCCGCAAGCGCATGGATATACCGAAGTAGCACTTCCCCTACGGAGTATTCTAAGGGTATCGAATCCAAGGGAATGTGTGTGATTATCTCTTCCTCCGGTTCATCCAAGGACACAAGATAAATATGGGCAAAGGGTAGAGAGGATTTCCTTATGAGAAACAGTGCCTAAGGAAAGCTTAAGTTTAATCCTAACACGATACTTCATGCACTGGCAACCCGCTGTTTACTAGATGTCGCTCTACTACGTACCCGAATAGGGAGGACTTAAGTGCTTTTGAGGGTTGTCACCACCTCTACACCCACCTCTAACGTACTGTGGGATACACAGCAACCACTGGCAATTAATTACCCTAACACCGCCACGCAATTAACTACTACTCTAGCACTGGCCAAGCACTAAAGCAAACACTATATAATTAATGGACTATAGTGAACAATGATCCCGTATGCTAATTAGGAACTAACCAAGAATAATTCTCACTAAGCAAATCTTAATTAGTCAGAATGATATGTCTATTGAAGCAGAGTAATTACCAAAGTACAAGAATAAAGAGAGGATTACCGACAACTCCGGGATTCCTCCGACTTCTTCTACTTCACTCTCTCCCTATTATAAGTATACTATAGAACATGTAAAGAAGCTAAAGCATACTTAGAGCCTCTTGTAATTCAGCTCTACATCTTGGTGAGAGAGGAGAGGGGTATTTATAGTGTGGAGCTTGCTTGGGTGTGTGGAGATCCTCCATGGAATCCTATGAGCATCTTCACTCTCCTCATGCCAAGTGTCCATTTGGATGACGGTTGGAGCGCCGGAAACGGTCATAACCACCATCAGGAGAGCGTTATCTACCGAACTGGACTTGGGCCGGGGCGAACGGCCTTTGCCAGGGTTCGGCCGAACTCAGGGGTTCGGCCGAACCCGGGGTGGCTCTGTTCGCTCCAGTTTTCGTCCTGGACACTCATTTTGGGCCCCTCAATTCATTGGTATGAATGTTTGGCCAATTTGGAGGTGTTTAATTGGGTTTCTGGGTCCAAAACTCCATAAGTTCGGATACGAGTTTGATTCTCATCCTCCTTCATTTATATTTCCTCTCAACTTTGGTAGTTTGTCACCTGCATATGAATATACACTAACACTCGTGGAAATTGTTAGAAATAAGCCCTACCACTATGTTGGATGTTCCATGTTTATGGTCTTATGCAGGTATTGACGGCGTTAATTTGGTACTTAACAGCCGTCAACAATATTCCCATGGGATTAAATAAATATGATATCTTGGAATACTTCCGGGTGAAATGCTACAACGCTATATCCTAGCGCTTGCGGATTATATCTGTAACCATAAAGAATACCAAGTAATATTTTGAGCATCATTGCTACGAATTATATTTCTAGTAAAGTTGTTAAGAAATATCATCAACCACCTCATAGTGACTTCGCTTCACTAGTACTCCATTCCTTCCCTCCTCTGCTTCTTTTCTCTTCCTCACCGACACTCCATCCTCTTCTTCACAGGCACTCAATGCATTCCGCCCGTCAATCCTGTGCCTCTTCCCTCAATATATACCCAAGGCAGCTTCATTCCATTGACACGGGCAGGCGTCTTTGACCTCCAACAAGTGCTTGACAACAGCAGCTGCAATCTCCTCCAAGTGTCTACAACATGTCATGGAACAAGTATTCGAGTGGACATCATTTTTATTTTTTCAAATCGATCCAATTCCCATGCACATACGTAGCATGGTCCCATCTCTCTTCTCTAATACCCTCTCAAACATTCGCTGCAGGGGCTGGTGGTGGCACTTCGACAGGGTGCTAGAGTTGGAGAGCCAAAAAAGGCAGTTGGAGAACCAAAACTGGCAGTTGGAGCAACAAAACTCTAGACTGTCCAGTGAGAAGCGTGACCTGGAGAGCAGGGTGAGGAGGTTGGGTTATGAAAACACCAATCTATTAGAAGAGAAGATGAGGGTTGCTCATGAGTCCTCAAGAAAGGTCTCCGCACTGGAGTACCGGGTGCGGGAGTTAGAGCACCAAAACACCAAACTGTCCAGTGAGCTGGTGAAGCAACGGGAGAACACGAGGAAGGCGGGTCAGCTGTTCATGAATGCTGCCGATACGTACCAACAAGTAGCAGAGAAGCAAATTAGGACAAAGGAAGAGGAATTGGCAAACACGAGGAAGGCAGGCCTCCTGTTAATGAACGCTGCTGATACGTACCAAGAAGTAGCAAGGAAGCAAATTAAAGCAAAGGTGGAGGACCTAGAGGATGCGAGGAAGGCGGTTTTGGTGGTCATGAATGCTGCCGATACATACCAACTAGAAGCGGAGAAGAAAATTAAGGATAAGGTGGAGGAATTGAGGGTCCTTGGGGTCCAGAAGGCAGAAATGGATGCGAGGGCTGCATCTTTGGAATCAGGGCTTAAGACAGCTCTAGCGAAGAATCAGGAATTGGAGGCTGAGTGTGATAAGGTGATGATTGAAAATAATATGCTTTGGTTGGAGGTTGAGAGGCTCATGATGGAATTGAGGGTAATGGCACACAAGAAAGAGGCAGCTGCAAATGCATTTGGTGCTGAAAAGGCAGAAACTATGAAGGAATTGAAAGACCATGAGATGAATGTGGAGGAAATTACGACTAGCATGGATTTGATGAAGGGTGAAAATGATAAGATTCAGTTGGAGATCTTGACAGCAGGCAGAAACATTGCTTGCTTGAATTAGATGTGTTAGTAGAGGCAAAATCAAGAAGGAATCCGGGGACATGAAGGGGGAATTGAAGGAAATCAAGGATGCAGATTTCATGAAGGTTGAAAATGAAAGCGTTGGTTAGAGGTTTTCACTGCAGAACAAAAACATAGTCTGCCAGGAGCAGAAGTTGAGAGGCTCAAGGAGAATATTTGGATGATATATTTTCTTGAAACATGTATATCTCTCTGGATCGTCCAGAAGCTAGGGTGGCCCTTTTGGTGCGACCTGTTTCTATCCACTTGAAAACAATAAAATAAATTGCTGCTTTGGAATGGGTTTACAATTTTTAGAAATAAACTGTAAATGTGAGATTCCTTATCGTAATACATGGAGCAAATTTATCTTTTCAATTATATATGCATGGTTCTCTCACTTGGGTAGTATAAATACATGCATATTATACCTGGTGAGGATTGGTGTCCTGGTCTATTGATAGAAGGTCATGATCGGCAAAAGCATGGACATCAAACAAAACAGCACACGAGGATTTTATACACGTTTGGGCTCTCCTCGGATCGGGAGTAATGCCCTGTCTTTGCTGTTGTTGAGTAGGACTACATCTTCACACCGATTGATCATTGTGCGCACAAACGTCTTATTGGTTACTATATATTTCCTCCATCTCGTAATAAGTTTATTTTTAATTTCCTTCATTTGTCCCAAAATAAAAGTTCATTTTTAGAGTAATCGTGGCATCGGAGTTTGTGAAAGTATATTGGAGTTTGTGAAAATAGAGAATAATTGTATTGTGAGTAGATAAAGTGAGAAATAGTTGTATTGGAATTTGATAAAGTAAGGATATTCTGGTCGTTTTGTTTTGTATTGGTGTACGTGTTAAAGATAGGTGAAAATGAACTTACTTTGAGATAGAGGTAATGTTCGTGTTTTCTTACTTCAGGGGAATTATTCCGGAACTTTCGAGGCTCTTTAATCAAACACGGTAAAGGGGAGCCCCATATATGCATATGCACCATTAGTCTCTGAGCTCTACTTAAAATTCTTGGTAAGACTGTGTGGGTTACGTCAAAGGGCCTGTTCGGTAGAGATTTTCTGCAGCTGTACAGCCGTAGCAGCTACAGTATATAACAGTAGAAATTACACTGCTTGTACCGTTGAGGCAGTGCAGCTATCGCCGCAGCCAGCTGCAGCGTCCAGCTAACGAACAGACCCAAAATTTGTACCAGTCGATCGACCACAGACTGTGATTATCGTGACAGGGGATCTCTAGATATTGTGTACCTGACTAGGTAGAGGTCTGAGTATCTCCTGAAGCCGAATCATCATAGATGTCGAGTTATGCTCCAAAGTGCCGAGGACTCTCTCTTGGCATTTTGAGCAATAGTTTAAAGATGATATTTTTCACATGTGATGCCTTGGTTTTCGTCATTGTACCTTTTCTCTCTAGCAAATGTGCCATCAGATATATAAATACTGTGAGCCTTCTTTTAACATTGTTTCTGTCAACCTTACTAATGCATCTTGTTACAGATATGTATCGGCAGCTCTGGCTGAGATCACTTGTAAACTTTTTAGGTATGTTAGCAATTTCATGTTGTAAATAAAATGAGTAAGTAAGATCATGAACCAAATCATGCATCTTACAAGTCGCAATAACAGTGCTGATTTTGAACCATCTTTGGAAATCTGCTATCGTTGTCACTTCTTCCCCTAGACTTCACGTATAACAATGCTCCACCTTCTCTTCTATCATCACAGTCATCTTACCAAGTAATATGTGCTTCCTTGGAAATCGTTGCCACTGCTACTGCGTTGGTCTAGCTTCCTCCCTGGATACCTCCCTGGGCACCCAACTGAAGTCCGACATGAATATGAACCCAAGCCCGCACAGGACTCCGCCGTCCGCATTCCATTCTCCTCCGCATCGCTGTAGTCTAACTCGATTTATTCAGCACTGTTAGAATTAATCTTGTTATTTTGCATATTTGTGTGAGTCAGTCGTGTATAGGATTAGTTTGTGCTAGCTGTGTACGTGCTCTTTATCTCAACACATGGCTTAGTGGCCAAGGGAGGCAGCCATGATGTGAGTGTTTGTGTGACCAGGTGCTTGGTCAATTTGTGGCGAGTGCTTAGCAGCAAATCAGCCGATGCATGTGTTAGTTAGTTTGATCAGTCTTGCATGCACACGTTAGCTTGGAGTTGTGGCCAAGTTAAGTGAATGGTTCATGGCTAGAAGAGTGGATCAGATAACTCATGCATGTAGTGGTTAGTGGTGATCTGCATGTAGGGAGATGTGCTTTGCATGTAGAAAAGGTGATTAGTGGGCACGGGAGAGTTGGGCCGAGTCGTGCGGCCGGCTGAACCTGTGCATGTGTGCGTGTGTTTATTTAAACCATGTAATCAGAGGTGTGATTAGTGTGTGAGGTGAATACAAGTGCAAGTGCAGGTGCTGGTGTGCCGCATCGAGTAGTTTTTGTGTGTGCAAGCTCTTCTTGTCCTTGTGCAGTGTGTGTGTTTCTATCATCCACTGAGTGAAATTTCCAACAAGCACATCGCTCTGCTCGTGGTGGTCCTTTTCCAAAACAGCCTATGACACATATACTAACACATTTAAAGTTACACCTGCACAATCAGTACCGCTGCCCCACGGTGCATGCTCGATAGCCACATGTGAATGCATGTTAATTCACATATCTTTCATGCACGAGGATCTCCAAGACTGAAGCAGGTCCATACATGCAATTTGGTCATCCTCCGTTTTTCTCTGTGCCTCTGCTCGGTAGGGCGCTCGCACCATACATACGCGTATGACATGCATCCATAAATATCATCCATGCCTCCTCACCCATCAGGGTCACAGCCCTTAGGCATTCACAGTGCGTCTACGTGTCGTTCGCATTCGACCTTCCACGTAAGAGATTCGCCTCCACGTTCGCTTTGGTCGTGACCAAATGGAGTACACGCAGCCAAAATGAGCCATGGGTTCTTCACTCGGATCGAGGACGCGTGGCACGAGGATGGATGAGCACGAGCGCGCTACCACATTGTGGAGATTAGGCTCCTAAATCGCCGATGGACGGAGGAGGAGATGAGGGCCGGTGAAGGGAGGAGAAAGCCTCGCCGCCTACTGGAGAAGAGACAACGGAAGGTGGAGCTAGTGGCGGTAGGCTGGCCGGCGGCGAGGCCACTCCACCGTGCCGCCACCAAGTCCCACCTCGGAGTCCTCCGCCGCCGAGGCCCACCGCCAGATCTGCGTCGTCCTGCTCCATGCCACCAAGATCCGCACCGTCCCTCTTGTAGTCCTCACGCCGGCGAGCTCGTCGACGCACCGGCCAGGGAAGAAGGGGCGCCGGCCTTGGAAGGAGGAGAGGGGAGCCGCCGCCGAGATCATCATTGTCCCCTACTCTAAGCCGCCGAGGCCGTCGTCTCGCTCTATACAAGCCGCTGCTCGTTGTTGTCAACCACCCGTGCAGCAGCAACAGCTCGATGGCGGCTGTCTCAACCCATCTGCCAGGGGGAGGAGGAGCGGCGGAGATGGGGAGGGAGAGCAGCGCCGCCTTGCCCCGCCCACCTCGTTCTACGCTGCTAGGGAGCCGAGCGCCATGGTGGCCTGCAGAGGAGAAGAGATGGGGACGGCGAGGACTAGTGCGACCTCGATTCGTCGGCCGGAGGAGCTCAATTTACTGTAGCTCGCTTAATCCACCGCGTGCCGAGGGAGGAGACGAGAGCAGGGCGGCCGGCGTGAGAAGAGAGGCGCTGGGGAAGATACGAGAGCCGGATCTCTAGCGTGAGGAGAGGAGAGGGAGAGGCCGAGAGGATACGAGAGAGAGAGGGTGAGGGAAGTCTTATATTTTTTTTCTAGATTTTAGGGTGTTAAGTGTAAAATTTGGACCTACAGATAAATTAAAAAAAATACGAGAACTGAAAATAAAATGTTAGGGGCTGAAATATAAAATTGAAGCCACTCCTAAAGTCACTTGCACAGTGAGGAACCCAGATTTTGGACCCGTAGCCTTACCCTACATGGCACCCTCAGGCTCCTCAAATATGTGGGACGCACCGTGAATACCCTTATGTTCACCATTCATGACCCCATCTTCAATAGCCCTGCACGTACGCCACATGGTGCCACGCTCGTCGGTTGTGCCCTGCCGCTACAGTCTCCTTGTCACCATAGATCCGCGATCACCATGGGCGTCGAGCATGCCATCCATGGATCTATCACTCCGATCTCTCTGGTTGTTTTCAGCCACGCTCGGCCTCGTCTTTCGGCCACGTTCCATCGTAGCAGGTCTAATCATAGGTGAGGTCGTCGACCCCGAAACTTCCTTGTTGTCACCATCAATCTCATTGCCATGACTTGTGATTTCCTGTCAATGCACGACCCCACCTCAATTTTCCTCCTTCGCATGTCTTCTTGATCTGAGGATGAAACCTTTGGCTCTGATATCACTTGTTATAAAAGTTAGTTGATATAGCGGAACAACAACTAACCTTCTTAATAGCTTCATGTATTCATCACCCAAGACATGCCAGATGACGATATAGAAACACACGATATTTGTTAACGAGGTTAGCCAAAACCTAATCCTAGGAGCTCTGGTTATGGGCGTTCCTCCCCAATAAATATAGCACCTTAGCTGCTACGGGTACATGGCCTCGCAGTCATCATCTCCCTGCATGTTTATCCTACGTACATTGTAACCTACATGGTTATATTGTGATGCCCCCCTCTCTATTTAAGAAAGATTTTTGGGTTATAGAGTGCGACTCTAACTATACCCCTACCACCTATTACAACTCTAAATCCATCCGTAACCAAATAGATCTAGTATATTCGATAGTTATTCTAACAATACGAACCAATAGTCTTTTTAGTCTTCTTTTTTGAAATAGAATGTTAACATGTCATATGGGTTGAATAGAGATAATTGAATTGAGGGAATAAAAGCAAGGTACTTTGGAGCAATCTAAAGCGCTAAATTTTGATCTAATAGATAAAATTTATTGACTTGATGTGGTGCAATGAAAACAAAGGAAAATAGCTTTAATTGCATCCACTGGAGATGAACTTTATACATATACATATATAGGATATCCAAAAAGATTGATAGATGCAAGGATTTCCATTTTGCCTTTCTTTAAAAGAAAGGGAGGTACTAGCTACTTAGCTAGTACAATACCTTGGGTGGAATATAATCATTATGGCTTTGAATTCTTGCAATCGAAGCAATAAGAATAATGCGATCGAGCTGTGTCGCGGAATGTTTACAAAATAAAATAAAAGAAAAGAAAAAAAATGTGCCAGCATCA